GCCAGAGCCTCGGGAGGGTGCCTTCGCCCACCTCCCGACGCCTCCGCTGTGCAGATCTCCTTCACAGGGATAGGTCAGTTGGCGTGTATTCAGACGGTCACAGCCTGGATTCTTTTGTGTATTACAGATCAACATCTGATTGCATAAAAAGAAGTACCTGAGCTGTTTAGGGAGATCTAATCAAAGCTCTAGGAAAACTTAATGGAATATATACATGGTATCGTTATCTTTTTTGGCTCACGTTTACGTTTGTCCTCAAGTTATAGGCAGAGTCTTCCGAGGTCCTTGTAGTTATTCAAGTAACTTCTAACACTGGGGTTTATGTGTTTGTACTCTGCTCTATTTCCCAAAATATATATATATTTTTGAGAGTTTGTAGAAGTGTTATTTGTTTAGTCTGTGATCCTGAATGTGGGTGTGGGGAGTGCTGGCGATTCCAAAACAAACAAAATAAGAAAACTTAGCACATTGTGCACAACATAGAACATTATTGCAGTATTTAGGAATCTTGAGAGATGAACGTTATTGCATACACTGCACTTTCTAACTAGGCGGTTAGGGAATGGGTCTTTCGTTTAGATAAAAACGGGATAACCAGTGATGTGCCGAGCTCTTTGAGCCTTAACATCCTCCTAAGACATCTTTGCTACTAGTTGTAAGAATTGAGCGTCCAGATTAATATCTCTGCCAGATAAGCGTTACCTCCTGTCCTTAGTGGTCAGTATTCTCTTTCTTATTAACCGTGGAAAACATGGTATAATTAACCCTTGATTAACGTAGATTTTCATACGCAGGTTTTATGACTCTTCTCCACTTGAGAAGACAGTTAACCTCTTCTTTCTGAAAATGTTGGCTGGAATATGCTGATGTTAAGGCGATCGCTTATTGTAGGTAAATGAAAATATCTCTTGATTAGTGACACTTCTGAAATGTAGCTGTTAGATGTAGCTGGTAGTGAAATTGCGTCTGATGGCTTTTTAGAAATAGTACTTTATCTTTAAAAACAAGTATCAAGAGTAGCTCTTGATCACATGGAAACTGTCATGTCATTTACAACTTTTAAGTCTGTTGGGAATAAAGAGCTTTTTGAAAATGAAACAGTCGTATTTTTAAAAATGGCCTAAGAAAACAAAACTTATTTTTTGATATCAAATATAAGATCTAATTTTGAAGGAACTAGATTGAGTAGATGTTGTTAAATTTTTATCTAAATATTTTGGACAAGTATTGAGTTGTAATAAACTATACATGTCTCTTTTTCAAAAATTATAGTTATGTATTCTCATTTCATGTCCCTGCTTAGGAGGTAGCATATTTTTTTGAAAATAAGAAATGCTAGTATGTGAGCATATTTTTTCCAACACGCATAAAACCCTCAATTCAGAATCTTAGAAAATGGTGAAGAGAGAGATGCAGTTTGATGTTTTTTATTTGTTTATGTATATTTTCGGTTACAGATCACTGTCTGTCTTTGGTGTTAATCTTCACACCCTAGCATTTGTACAGTTTTCGTGGAATCTATTGTGTGTTGCTTTGGAAAGAGTCATTGTCAGCAGTGTCTTTTACAGGAGGACTGCTAATACACTAACTGCACAACATCAGTCAGTCTTCTGAGATCTTGGAATAGTAACTGATTGCTATACTTTCTTGCTCTGTTTCATTTCTTTTAATCAGATGAATTAGTTCTAATGTTAGAATCAATGGCCCCAAAGACATAATGTTGGAGACTGCTTCTGGTTGCTGTAACGAATACCAAAATTTAGTGGTTTTAGAGACTAATACTGTAAAACCATATTACCATAATTAAATATTTTTATATTATCATCACAGATATCTCCAAGTAATTTATATATGTGAGTGATTTAAATTGTTCTTGAGTAGCCTTGCAGATTAGACTTTCTACTCAGTCCTTATAGTTTTAGATAACACTGCAGTTCATAGTAATCTATGTGTTAGAAAAACACTTTTGCTGAAAAAAAAAAAACATTTTAAAATTAAATATAAATGACACCCGTGTGACTGCTTCATGCCAGAGTTAAATTTAGGAAGATAGAAGATATCTACAGAGGATAAGGGATGGCAGAGAATATCAGGACTTTTGAGATAGATCCATTTCTAATTATATCTTTTTTTTTTTTGAGGCTCACTTTGTACTCACTGTGTTGTTGTTAGGGAAAACTTTCATAAAAAGCAAAAACCTATAAATGTTACAATGTAAAATGGCTTCTGCTGTCTCTGACACCAGTTTGTTTTGTTTAGCTCAGAACTAACAGGCACTGAAGGCACTAATTGCTGAAGGAGGCATTTGATCTTACCTGAGCTAACAGGGCACGTCAGGGTCTTGAGCTCCAGTGAGACTGGAGCCACATGATCGAAAGAGTGTCTAAATCAAAGAACCCATTGCTAACATTTGCTCCCCTGACCCTGAACTCCCCCGTTTCCTATGAACTAGAATAGGTAACTAGGCGAATGGTAAAGGTAAACTCCCCAACTGCAAAGAACCGTTACGTCTGGGTTGAAAGCTAACTACCCCATGAAAAACTAGGCGAATGGTAAAGGTAAACTCCCCAACTGCAAAGAACCGTTACGTCTGAGTTAGAAAGATTACCTATTCTGTGACCATGATTTGAACTGTGAGAATGAATTGTAACCACCCAAATGAAGTCAAGGCCGTGAAACCCTATAAAAGGAGGAGTCAATCCAGGCACGGCTTACGTGCGACTGACTCTTCTGGATGAGTAAATTTGTTATTTTACTTCCATTCTGCTGCCTGTCTGCGTGTCACTTACTGATTCCTTCCATAACATTGTAGCCCAGTGGTAGGGGTGATGTTACTAGTATTTCCAGTAGCACAGGTATTAATACTAGTAGTGCTAGTAGTAATAGTAGTAGTAGCTGATAGATGGTGTGTTGGGGAAGAACAAAGGTTGTGAACTAATACTTTAGAAAAACTTGCCTCTCTGTCTTGAAATACAATATCTTACTTGTTTGTGCCTTTAAAATAACAACAAAACAACATTTCTATCACATCTTCTTTATCCTGCGCAGTTCCTGAATTAGTATTTAAAATGATTTACTCCTTGCCAACACCTGTATAGAAACAGTGGAGGAAGAGGGCTCAGGATGACCCAGTGGTGTTGGTCTTGGGCCTGGGCCACTTGCGTGGGTCTGTGGGGTTGAGCGACACCAGCAAGGGTGCTCTTGACTAACTTGGGTGGTCAGTGCCGATGGGCCTGGATCTAACCTGAGTGTTGTACTTAAACTGACCTGTCTCATTCTTTGTAGTCACACAAAGTGGTTATTGGTATGATTGCTCCCATTTTACAGGGTCTGGAGGCTACAGGGCTGGAAATCAGTCTCTACAGACACACTTACGTTTGGTGCAGAAAAGGCAGAGTGAGGGAGGCTGGATAGACAGAGAATGCGGTTCAAGGGAGGTGTCGTTTCATTTTGGTTTAATCAAATAAACTTGAACATATACCGGTGAGGAGCATCTAGTTGAGGGAATGGCTGAATATGGAAGAAGGAGCTGGGCATGGTGGTGCACGCCTGTAATCCCAGCATGTGGGAGGACGAGGCAGGAGAATTGCTGTGAGTTTGAGAAGGTCAGGCTGAACTACATGGCAAGACCCTGCCTTAAATTGCAAAATTTAAAAAATAAATAAGTAAATAAAATTTGGTACTCAAGTTGTAGATACTTTTATAGTGATAGCCTGCCATCTCTATGATTTTTACTTTTTACACTTGTTTTGTTGACTGTATGAGTGTTTTGGAAAGTAGAGTAGTGGGTATGAATGATAAGTTTTAGGTAATGTTTTAAATGCCAGAGATTTAAATTTTAGTTTGTACCTTCCATCCTACATCGCATTTTTTAGACACAAGCAGCATATAGACTTTTAAAAGCATGACTGTTTCTTTCTAGTAGATAACATTTTATACACACCTCAAAGTGTAAAAGATACAGAAGCAATTATAGGTAGAATTGACAACATGTATGTCTTTATCAGCATCTTTCTGTGCTGCAGTTCCTTACAGTTAAGTTGTTAAATTGCTATTTGTAGTCAGTTGTTTTCTTTATAATTCCTTAACAACTTAAGGAATGTGTGCATGTGTCTGCCTGTTTGCGTACCTATGTGTGTGTCCCTGTGTATGTACACAAGTTTCTGTGCTTCCAGTGTGCACACAGACACAGGGTGCACATGGGGAGTGCAGAGGCTCTTGCTGAGAGGTGGTTCTGACTCAGATCTGGGGAGGTGATTTCTTTTGGAGCTCAGAAGTTGCTTCCTCACAGCTTTCCCGTTATTGCCAGAAAATTTGGAGCAACTCACATATCCGTGTCTTTGGCCTGCATTTTCACATGTGCAAAATAAAAATATTTTACCAGATTGTTTCTTAAGTTCCTTGGCCATTTAAAATTTAATCAAAAGTTATGCTTGTATGATGCACTGAAACATGAGCTGCATCCAGTTCCCTGTTGTGCGACTTGATGTTCACTTATTTCTTGTTTTAGTTTGATTCTTTTCCCAAATCAAGGCTTTTAGAGGGAGGCTTAAGGTAAAGTAATTAACATTTTTATACATAAGATAGTTCAGAAGTACTGTAAGTCTAATTTATATTTGGGAAGAAAAAGTGTAGCTATATTTTTTAGAAGACTATAAAGGCAGAGGATTCAGATCTAGACAAAGGAGAATAATAGGAAGTTCTGAGTAAAACAGTTACTTTGGTTTTGATGTTACAAAAATCCAGTAAGTAAGAATTATATTAGAAAGGGATTTTCTGGGTAGAAAAGTTTGGATGTTTTAAAAGAGAGTATGTTATAAGAAATAAAATGAAGATATACTACATTAAATGCGTACGCATGGTGATGATAGTCCTGTGATGTTATTTGGTTAGAATCCTGTCTCTCCATTTCACATA